CGATCCACGCCGATGCGAGGGGGGGGGCAGGATTTGTTGCTGACGGTTCGCCCCCTGACCGATGAGACTTCCGCATCCCTGCGATATCCCCGCCCCGCGAAGATCATACTGACAGGCTCAGCCCCCCTTCAACCTGATGTCAGTCTACCATCTTCGTAGGGGCTAGATAGGATCGCGCATGAAGGGATGGATGCAATGGCGGAGAGAATTGCAATGGCAAAGGGAAGATGCAGGGACAGGGGGCGAAGGAATGGAGGGACGGAGTATGAAGACTCAGTGTGTGTGTGTGTGAATGTGTGGATATGGGGGTGGACCATTGGAACCCACTGCCAGCCCCATGCGGGGCTTTGGCAGCGAGGAGGAGGGCAAGTCCCGATTAGCACAGGCCCCGTGCGGGACCTGCGCAGGGACGCTTCCCCCCAACGCCGATCTCACCCCTCCTCTTCGCACGGCTCTGACCCACGCCCAACGCCGCCCACAGAGGCAGCGGAGACGCACGGGGCCCTAGAGAGAACGGCGCGAGGGTCTGCAGCAGACTTCCAATGCGCACATGCATACACAAGGCAGGCAACCCGCATGTCCTCCAAAGGACGAATGTCGGCCACGTTCGCAAGACACGGGTTTATGCTCACGGAGGGCGTGCTGACGTTCAACCCCTCATCCTTCCCTCCCCTCCTCCCCGTGGTCCTTCACCCTGTTCCCCGCCACCATGCCCACCCCGCCTCGTCCTCCTCGATGGAAGAGCCGGCCGCACGGCGCCGAGACGGCGCGGAGGCTATGCCCGCGCCTCGGGCAGAATTGCGCGCCTGTCGACTCGGAGTCCCTGGAGGTTCTTGGAGGTGTGGGGGGCGAGGCAGGCCGAGGAGCTACGGGAGAGGAGGAGGAGGAGGAGGAGGAGGAGGAGGAGGAGGAGGAAGATGCTTGAGTTTTCTCTCTGGCGGCAACAAATTCGCAGGTCATGCAGTTTCGTTGTCCCCCGTCCAGCACCACAGCTGTTGGTACGTAAGGTGGGAGAACGGGGCAGGAAGCGCGGGCTGGCGGAAAATCCAGAAACCGCCAGCCAGCATCGAGGCCACGGTGGGGTCGTCCAGCGCGCCCCGGGAAAGTACGTCCGCGGGATGGTCGGCGCTGGGGACGTGTTCGAACCAGCATCTGCAACCCAGGGCCGCCAGCAACGCCGATGCCTGCAGCGCCAAGCGGCACATCGTGGCTGTCGGAGAGCCAGCTTTGACCAGTGACGTGGCCGCAGAAGTGTTGTCTACCCACCAGATGACATCTTGGCCGCGCAACTCCTCCGCGAAAGTGGCAGCCACGAGGGTGCCGCACTGGAGCTCCGCCTGATTGATGACGGTGTCTTGCGGGCCCCAGGTCTCGCGAAGGCACTGGTCCGCATCCAACGCGGTCACGAACGTGCGGCCATCTGGGAGGATCACCTTGGCGCCCAGCCGAACGCGGTCTGCATCCGCAGCTGCGTCGGTGTAGACGCGCACAGGCGGGGCAGTAGGGCGGATAAGGGAAACACACCGATCAGGCATGCACCGCGCCGCCGCCGCGATGTAGTGCAGGGATTCCCATAAATTGGAGCCTGCAATGACCTCTTCGCTCTGGTCCCAGTATTGTCGAGCAGTAAGAGCATGGCCGGCCGCCCTGAGGCATCGGCCCGCGAGGGCCGCGTCCATCCACGTTGCCAAGCCGCGCATTTTTGCCGCAGTCCCGGAGGAGAGGCGCCCCGACTGAACCGCGGCCATGCACATCTCGACCAGGCGCTCGCGGGTGTGCAATTTTGGGCCCCACGTGGCAGTCAGCGCATAACAGGTGCGCACGAGATCGTGGAGGTGGCCCAAAAACTTGAACATGAATGACGGCGGCCGGCGCTTGCTCGCGGAATATTTAACCCCGCTGCACACTGCAGACTCCTGCGCGACGTTGGACGCAGACCAATGCAAGCCCGCCAAACAGCTCAGTTCCACGGTGGGGCTGTCGTCGGCGTAATGGCCTGTGAGGGCCAGCGAGATTCGACGGTTGAGCGCCGTCACAAATCCGGCCGCTCGGGTGAACTGATTGACTGCAGAGCCCAAGCCGAAGGGTAGCCCGCGAAGCTGCGCGTACAGCCACGTCCGCGTCTCGGGGCACATGACCGCGACTACTGCTAGCCCCATGTGCTCGCTCGTCGGGAAAAGCTGTCGATAGCCTTTCCACCAATCTTCGAGCGACACCATCGGCTTAAACCAGGGCGGGATGCCACCGGGCGCCTTGATGAAAGACAGGGCCATGCATTTCAAGAGTATGATGACGAACTCTGGCGGGATGCACACCACCGTCTCGAGAGTCGATGACAGCGCATTCGTGCGGGAGCGTTTTCCGTCATCGATGGGCCGCCATTTGTCTGCCTGCCAGATGACATGGCGGACCAGCGGACGCCATCTCCCTGCCCCGTGCAGGTGGTCCATCTCGTCCTTCGTGCGCATAGGGTCCGCTATGCCGTCGGAAATCTCTGCATGCGTTAGATCCCAGATGGCCCGGACGTGTTTGGACGGATGGCGCATGGCCTCGACTGCAGCAACGCACCGACAGGCACCTGCTCCAAACACCTCCTCCCCTTCCTCCGGCTCTGAACCCTTGCCAATGTGTTTTGTGGCAATAGGGCGCAATATGCCAGACGGGGGGATAGCGCCGGCGAGCTCGAAGCCGAGTGCCAGGCGCGACGGCAAGCCTTTGTCGGGCCATCCCATTAGAGCGACCATAAAAGCTATGTAAACGGGCCGGACGCCAGGCGCACCCTGCAGACGCACGTGCCTCTGGGCTAAGACGCGCTCGTCAAGGGGAGCCAAAATTCGAGCAACGCGTAGCACGAGCCGCAATCGAGCCCGGCGTAAAGATTCGATGCGCGGTCCATTCGCTACGTACGCGTCGACTACAAACTGGAGGTCTGACTCCACCAGCGGGTCGCGCGCAAAAGGGTGTTGGACTTGGGCCGAAAGCTGTTCGTGACGAAGCGGCCCAACTCCCCAATCGACGAGATTTGGGGCCGCCAGCTCCGACGTGGATGGCTTGTGCTGATGTGCAACGGAAGCGTGCATCGGCGACTTAATCCACAACGCTTGCACGTCAGGCCCAAGAGCACCCTCTGGCGCTCCAGACTGCAATAAATACGCAGGGTAGTCGTAAAATCGTGCAAAGTCCAGCCGGTGCAATGCACGCAGCGCGTCGGCAACAGCAACGTTGCAATCACTGAAAAACCGCGCTGGGAAGTAGCTGAGGGCCTCCTCAAAAAACGCGGCCCCGGACCGGACCATGCCCGGAGGGGGCCGCCAGTCCGAGCACCAAACTGTGCCTGGAACGTGCGTTTCCTGCCAAATTCTCGCTGATTCTTTCACGGCCTGAGCTGGGGGCAAAATACCGCTCCCTCCGGCAGGATACAATAACAGCGACAGCAAGAGAACGATGGACGGGACGTGGAACGAAGTGCCGATAGCATGCCGGCGAGCTTGCTCGCCGCTCAGGCCGGAGCCGGCAGCGGAGCGAAGCGGCATAAAATACCCTGGCGGAAATCCCATCAAGGTCGCGCGCTCGCTCGCTGTCAAATGCCGCATGCCCCGGCCATCAGCACGTTCCAACATGTTGCCCCTGACGTATGTTGAGATGGGCTGCATGCGCCCGTCCGCCACGAACCTTTGGTACACATGCCGATCGTCGGCGACGGCCCGAGGAGGGCGATCCGCCGGGTGGGGGTAGACGGCCGTAAAAGCCAAAAACCTTCCGTCGGCATGCGTGGAGCTGTACCCGGTACCGGGCGGAACCATGGACCTACGGCCGATCTCATCCCTAAACGTCCAGACATCGCCATCATCTGGTTGCCAGTCGGCGGGGACCGGCGGACCAGTGTATCGCACGACGGTGAGGGATTCTGCTGCTAGGCTCGAGCCAGCGGCTACGGACAGCGACGAAGATGGTGACGATGATGATGCTGCCGAAGACGATGAAGTCTCGGCCATGGGCCATGCCCGCGACACACCGAATCTGTCATGGCTGGTTTTGCTGGGGTCCCCGGGCCTCCAGCCGGGTTGACGTCACCGCGCGAGCACAACAGAAAACGGGTTGCACTTGAGACGCGATTTATTCCTCAGGTGCGCCGTGCAGGAGGCCATCATTGGGCCCCTTGCTCCAAGTCCCGGCCTTCGGTGGCAATCTAAACGGTCGCCGGCTGGGGCGGCCGACCGACCGGAGAATCGACGAAATGCGATCGACGCAAGCTCCGGGAACCTCCATCCCCGTATGCTACGCTCCCCGATCCACGCCGATGCGAGGGGGGGGGGGCAGGATTTGTTGCTGACGGTTCGCCCCCTGACCGATGAGACTTCCGCATCCCTGCGATATCCCCGCCCCGCGAAGATCATACTGACAGGCTCAGCCCCCCTTCAACCTGATGTCAGTCTACCACAACCGAAGCGTCGCCGCACGCGCGCGGGTCAAGAGCAGGAGTGCCACAGCGAGGAGCCTTCCAGGTCGAAGGCCCAGGCGCAAAGAACGCCAGGGCACCCCTCCAGAGCAGGGCCTGTTCTTCGCCCTCCAAGGAGGGCGCGAAGAGTACAAGCCCCCAAGGATTGTGGAGGAGGAATAGAAGAAGGAGGAGGAGGAGGAGGAGGAGAAGAGGGAGGGGCAGGAGGAGGAGGAGGAGGAGGAGGAGGAGGAGGAAGGTGGTGTTGGAGGAGGAGGAGCAGGAGGAGGAAGAGGAGTAGGAGGAGGAAGGCGGAGGAGGAAGGCGGAGGAGGAGGAGGAGGAGGAGGAGGAGGAGGAGGAGGAGGAGGCGAGTGCCCCTCCAACGCGTGGCCTGCCCTTGACCCCGAGCCAGGTTCGAGATCGCCCCTCCAGGCGGCAGGCAGCGCCCTGGAGAAGGTCTGGCTTCGACCCTTCGAGTGACAGACTTCATCGTGCAGCGTCCAGGCGGAGGAAGAGGATTTGGAGGACGAGGAGAAGGGAGCGAGGAGAAGGAGGCTGGCCTTGACTTCGTTCACTAGGCCGAGGCACTTGTTCAGCTCACGCTTGATCTTGTCGGAGGGGATAACCAGGCCATGCCCTCGGTAGTTCAGTCCTGTCGAGCGGACAAGCTTGAGACGGGAAGCGAAATGGCCGAGAGACCTGGAGAGCCAAGAGAACGAGGAGGGTTATGGTGAGGATGATGGTGATGGTGATGCTGATGGTGGTCGTGATGGCGATGGCAATGGCGACGGCGATGACAATGCTGATACTGGTGATGATGCTGTGGATGATGATAATGATGATGCTGATGCTGATGATTGTGATGATGATGATGATGACGCTACTGATGATGATGACGATGATGATTATGATGGTGTTGATGATACTGAGGATTATGGTAGGAATGATGATAATGATGATGATGGCGATGGTGCTGCTGCTGCTGCTGATGATGATGATACTAACCATGGTGACGATTATGATGATGCTGCTGCTGATTAGGATGATGACGATGCTGCTGACGGAGATGGTGTTGGTGATGTTGATGATCGTGATGGTTATGATGATGGTGATGGCGATGATGCTGGCGATGATGATCATGTGATGATGATTGTGCTGATTCGAATGCGGATGGCGACGACGATGATGATGGTGCCGATGAAGATGCTGATGCTACAACGGGTAATGGTACTGTTGCCATTAAACTACTAAGGGTACTAATACTACTGATGGTACCACTGATACTGATAGTACCATTAATACTGTTGCGGCTAAAACTACTAAAGGTACTCATACTACTGAGAACAAGTTACTAAGGATGATGCTGCATATGCTGATGATGATCATGATGAGGACGCTGCTGATGATGATGCTGATGATAACGATGATGCTGCTGCTGCTGATGAGGATGCTGCTGCTGCTGCTGCTGCTGCTGCTGCTGATGATGATGATGATGATGATGATGATGATGATGATGATGATGATGATGGTGGCGATGCTGATGCTGACGATGCTGCTAGTGATGCTGATGACGATGCTGCTGATGCTGATTATACTGTTGGTAATGATGCTGATGATGGGGGTCTTGATCATCTCAAGGCTCCGCGAGCAGCAGAACCTCCACCTGGGAACCACCAGTGAAGGGAGGGGGAGAGTGCGTAGTGGGCGCATAAAGGGGGAGAGTGGGGATGGGGAGAAAGGAGTGGGAGACGGGAGGCGGGAGGAGGAGGAGGAGGAGGAGGAGGAGGAGGAGGAGGATTAGCGTGAGGAAGGAGGAGGCAGCGGCCAGCCGTCCCTGATGCATGTGTGGTGACCCTCGCCGCTCCTCTGCCGCCGCCTCCTCCTCGTCCTCCTCCTTCTCCTCGTCGTTCTCCTTTCCTCCTCCTCCTCCTCCTCCTCCTCCTCCTCCTCCTCCTCCTCCATTTCCTGCCGTGAGCTGTGAGCTGATGGCGTGAAGTTCGGCACTCCCTCCCCTCCATGCTACTGCTGCTCCTCCTCCTTCTCCTCCTCCTCCTCTCTTCCTCCTCTCTTCCTCCTCGTCCACTCCTCCTCCTCCTCCTTCTCCTCCTCCTGCTCCTCCTCCCTCCTCCTCCTCCTCCTCCTCCTCCTCCTCCTCCTCCTCCTCCTCCTCCTCTTCCCCCTCCTCTTGCATCTCCGCCTGCGGCTACTGCTCCTCCTCCTCCGCCGTCGGGTCCTGATACGTCCTTTGCCGCTCCCGAGGAGGCCACCCCTCCGCTGTTGCCGTCGCCGTCGTCGTCGTCGTAGGCGAGCCCGAGGTTGTACTTGCACTCGCGGATCAGGGGAGCGACCTCCTGCGCCTGCGGGGGGCAGGTGCTCGGAGGAGCAGGGACACGCACGCAGCTGGGGGCGGCTCCCAGGCACAGGGGCCGCGCGAGGGCTCCAAACCATCGCGCGCCTCGGACGTCCAGGTGCTGGCCGTGGCACGGAGACGTGGCCGGGCCCGCCGGGCGCAGCCCGACAGCCCGCGCGATAGCCGGAGGAGCACGGCGAGGCGACGAGAGAGGGGGGACCCACCTCTCCTGCCGTGTGGTGCGGGAGGCCCCATCTCCGCGGTGGGCCGTCGCGGCCATGTTCCAGCGCTGGGCAGGGCAGCCTGCGGTGTCCGCCAGCCAGAGCCCACGCGGGCACGTGCCCGTGGAAGGCACCACCTGCTGCTCCCTGAGCTGTTGTTGCTGGGTGGGGTGCTGGTGCGGACGGGATGGGACTCACAGGACGGAAGGACACCGCCTTCGCCAAGGCTCCACCCCGGCAAGAGGCCGTGACGCCCTGGCCGCCGCAGGACGCAAACCGCAGTCCTGGCCATCGCTCGGACGTCCATTTCCTGTGTTTGTTTCGGTTTCGTGCGTGGTTTTTTCGCCAAATGATCAAGGATGCTCCTCGATGGTCCTCGCCGAAAAAAAAGTCCACACGTCCGAGCGATGCCAGGAGTCTGCTCGATTCGCCGTGACCCACTTCTGGGCTCATCTCTCGCACCGCTGGCTGCCACTTTGTGATCTGCAGGTCCTGGGCACGACTCTCGGGAGCATCGCACACCGGCGGTGCCCCGCGCCGCGCTGGGCTGTGCGCGTCGCCCGGGCGATGGCGAAGACGTTGACGGCGAGGACGATGCCTACCGTGCCTGGCCCCCGGGGGGCGCCTGCCTTAAGACATGTTTTAGGTGGGCCACCGAGGACGTTGAGACATAAAACCATGTGTGGGGCAGTCTGGAAGGTGCCTCTTATGCCATGTGCCTGCTGTAGACATTGTTTCTCTGTGCCCTTCCTCCTCGATGTCCTGTCGTTATGGACTCGCTGCGCGTGTGGTCACCGCGGAGCACCTACGACTCCACATGTCCAACACAACATGCTTTGTTAAACCCCTCCACCAGTCTCCCCCTGTGCGGCTGCTGCGAGCCTCTCGACACTTACGCGCACGGCAAGTTTTTCCTCGAGGCAGATGGCAATGAATAGCTTACAGCCGATGACAAGCACAGAGTCGCAATGCGCACAATGTTGAAACCAACCTAACTCGCGTCTGAGCTGTGTGTCTCTCCGCGTAAACTCAACCTGCAGGAAGCAGACTAGGAAGACGAGATGGGAGCAGAGGGCGGAAGACGCAATAAAGGGCCAGCAAGATACACATTGCACCCAATCTTTGTTGTTCCGAACCCCCTGTGGTGTCGGGTCCTGGTTTTGAACAGACAGCGCCCCGCGTCCCTCCCACCCTCCTCCTCCCCCTCCTCGCTCCTCCCATCCATGCCTCTGCCCTCCGCATGTTTCTGCTTCGGCACACCCCTCACACGGTTCGTGGCCCCATATGGAGCTCCACGGAAGGCTCCAGTGGCGCAGCCTACGTGCGTCCCCGCCACCCATTTCGGCACACGCCTTACACGTTTCTGGCCCCGTAGGGAGCTTCATCGAAGGTCCCACTGGCGCAGCCCGCAGGCGTCCCCGCCACCGATTTCGGCATACCTCTCACACGTCGCGTGGCCCCATAGGGCGCTCCACCGAAGATTCCAGTGGCGCAGCCCGCAAGCGTCCCCGCCACCCATTTCGGCGCACCCCTCACACGCTCCGTGGCCCCATGGGGGCCCCATCCAGCACACCCCTCCCGCGCTTCCTGCCACCATGGACCGCTCCACCGAAGGTCCCAGCGGCACAGCCCGAATGCGTCCCCGTCATCAATTTCGGTACACGCCTCACACGTTTCGTGGCCCCATATGTAGCTCCACCGAAGGTCCCACTGGCGCAGCCCGCATGTTCCTCCGCCACCCATCCCTCACACGTTTCGTGGCGCCATGCGAAACTCTAACGAAGGTCCCAGTGGCGCGGCCCGCAGGCGTCCCCGCCACCCATTTCGGCGCACCCTCGCACGTGTCGTGGCCCCATAGGGCGCTCCACCGAAGGTCCCAGTGGCGCAGCCCGCATGCGTCCCCGCCACCCAGTTCGGTTCGACATCGCACGTCTCGTGGCCCCATGAGGAGCTCCACCGAAAGTCCCGATGGCGCAGCCCGCATGCTCCCCCGCCACCCACGTCGGCACACCCACGTCGGCAACAACAGAAGGGGAAGGAGATGAACGCCAAACGGCGGGACCCGGAGCTCGTGCCGTTGCGGGCGAGCCGGGCGGGAACGCAAGGGGGGTTGAAAGAGCCGGGAAGAAAATGTGCACGAACCGGCGGCGCACGGGGCCCCACTGGCAGCGCCCGCATGGCGGCCCCGCCCCATTTCGGCACACCCCTCACGCGCTCCGTGGCCCCAGATGGAGATCCACCGAAGGCGATACTCACAACGACGGTACTCACAACTGCATCTGGTTTGTTTTTTTCGCTGGGCTGTTTTTGTTGAGGGGGGGAGCGTGAGCGGGCAGGCACAGCGCCATGCCGTCCGAGCAGTAACGCGGGCCGGGTCCTCGCTGGGCAGCGGCAGGGTAGCAAGAAACTCGCACGGTGCACCAAGTGCCAAAACCGGCCACAACTGGGACGACCAGGGGCCAGCAAGAGAATTTCGTCCAATCGTGTCACCTACCCGTGGCGGCAGCCCGGGCGCCCAGGCGAAGCGACTCACGCCACCAGGCATTACGCGAACGGCAAGCTGCTGTCTGGGCGTTGGACGGACACAGCGGGAAGCGCTCCAACGTCGGGGCGAAAGCGCAGCTGGCTAACGAGCGAGCCAGGCGGCGGAACTGGGCTCCCAAACAGCAGCGGGTGCATGCGGGCCTTTGTCAAACGCGCACGCGGGTGAGCAATGAGACCGCGAGCTGCACGATACGTGCAAACGAACCTGGTGAGGACGGAGGACGAGAAGGAGAAGCGGAAATGGGGGAGGGGGAGGATGACTTTTCATCAGCATAAGGGGGCTGTGATGTTACGAACAGTGACTGCGTGCCTGCACACAAATCGGCGTTCGAGGTGATCTACGACGCTTAACATCTGGAACCCGCCGCCAGGGATACATTTCCTTAGTGCGTGTGGCGTGCGGCACGGTGCTCACTCTAGCGCGTGCTACAGGGCGGGGCGTGCCCCCACGAAGAGGAGGACGAAGAGGGGGACGAGGAGGGGGACGAGGAGGACGACGAGGAAAAGAGTGGAAGGAGCTGCGGAGAAGTGGGGGGCAGCCGGCTGAACCAGGTTCCGCCGTCCGCACCGTGCGGTGGCCATGCCCTTCTCTCCCCTCGAGAGCCCTCTTCCCCTTCTCGCGCCAAGCTTTTCCGTCAGCGGCGAGAGCGGACGCTAACGGACCTTCTCTCCTCGAGAGTCCCCGGATCTCCTCGAGCTTCCCCCTCTCCCGTCGCGTCCCCTTCCTTCTCCCCTCTCCCCTCGGGACTCCCCTTACCTCCTGCGGACCCCTCCCTGCCGCGCGTTTTTTTTGTTGTTTTTCTCCTCATCTTCTCAGCAACGAGAGCGGACGCTGACCGCGTGCAAACATCCGGCGGGCCGCGCCGGGGCCATGGGCACACCGAGGCAGATGGAAACGTGAAGGGCGGCCGCAGAGAAGGAAGCCTCGCTGCGAAGAGTCGCGGAGGAGGAGGAGGAGGAGGAGGAGGAGGAGGAGGAGGAGGAGGAGGAGGAGGAGAAGGAGGAGGAGGAGGAGGAGAGGAGGAGGAGGAGGAGGAGGAGGAGGAGGAGGAGGAGGAGGAGGAGGAGGAGGAGGAGGAGGAGGAGGAGAGGAGGAGGAGGAGGAGGAGGAGGAGGAGGAGGAGGAGGAGGAGGAGGAGGAGGAGGAGGAGGAGCGGCGCAGAGGCTCCTCGAGAGGCACGGCCATCGTCAGCTGGGCGGCGGGCGGAGTGCCCTGAAGGGAGCTCCAGGACGACTCCTGCTTCGCGAAACATCCGGATTACCTGGCCAGGCTCTGCTTCGAAGGTCTTCGTGCCTTCGGCGCAGGGAGCATGGTGAGGGCTTCGGCAGGAGGGCCTGTGATTAGGCTCACTTCGCCTGAGGAGCTGGACTTTCTGTATGCTTCTTTTCCGTTCCTCTGATGCGCGCTGATCCTGCCCTGTTGAATCTGCCCAGCCAGAGTTCGCCCTCCGTGGCGTGCGCCGCGCGCACGGGGCTCGGGGAGGACGAGCGAGCTGTGCAAGCGCTGAAGCCACGTGCGAACTTCCCCTCCGACGACGGGGGGACACGAGCGATCAGCCCTGGACGGCGACGGGAGCGGCACCGGGAATCGGGCTGAGCGGCTCGGGAGCGATACCGTCTCGCTCCCGAGCGTGGACAGGGGTCCACCGTATCGCCGATACGGTGGGCCCCTGTCCACGCCCGGCCTCCCCCCATTCCTCCATCTCCTCCTCCTCCTCCTCCTCCTCCCTCCTCATCCTCCTCCTCCTCCTCCTCCTCTCCTCCTCCTCCTCCTCCTCCCCTCCTCCCCTCTCCTCCTCCTCGTACCTATCCTCCTCCTCCTCCTCCCCCCGTTCCTCCCCGTCCTCCTCGCCTCCTCCTCGTCCTCCTTGCCTCCTCCTCGTCCTCCTTGCCCTCTTCCTCCTCCCGAGCGTGGAGGCCACGCGCACGCTTCCAACCGACGGCAGCGCGGCGTCCGCCGCGTCGTGGGAGCCCAGGTGCAGCCGACGAGTCGCCCGGAGGAGGGGGAGGAGGAGGAGGAGGAGGAGGGGGACGGGGAGGGGGAGGAGGAGGAGGAGGAGGAGGAGGAGGAGGAGGAGGAGGAGGAGGAGGAGGAGGAGGAGAGAGGAGGAGGAGGAGGAGGAGGAGGAGGAGGGAGGAGGAGGAGGAGGAGGAGGAGGAGGAGGAGGAGGAGGAGGAGGAGGAGGAGGAGGAGGAGGAGGAGGGGGAGGAGGAGGAGGAGGAGGAGGAGGAGGAGGAGGAC